ATCGTGAATACGTCTAAACGTATTTGGTCCCCCCCCGGCCAACCTTCTACCGACCTACCGGAATAGGTCATTGAGATAGTAGAATTGAAAAGGCTTTTGATCAATGCTGCAAATGGCCAAACGGTATGGTGCTGAGGTGCTATTCAAACATGAATAACACGGAAATATGTCAAAACTGAAAATAAACAATGCATATTGCGGCTATAAATTTTGAAAAAAAAAACACTTACATGTGAAAACTGCTAACTAGATTTCAAGCTCAAAATTTCTATTTTCAGCGAAAATAATTACTTTAAATTTCTCTATTTTGATAGTAAAAAGGATCATACAAATTCGCGAGAACTTTCTAGCCTAGAAGAGACTTTCAGACAACCGGCAAATTCTCAAACAGGTTGTCTGGTCAAAGAAGGGAAAAATACAACTATAAGAGAGATCTACGGATTGGGCAGTAAAAAACCATTTGAAAAGGAAAATTGACAATTCGGGGAATAAATAACACCTAGACCAGTTTAATACAATTAAATAATCAGTCAAACTTAGCTAAAAATTAAAAAGGAAACAATCCAAATAAGCATTAAAGATCTTTCAAATCGGTTGAGGTGTTTGGAAAGAGTTGTCAGAAAGCGAGGAAATAATATCAGAAAATATTATAATGACATGACTAAGTTTCATAAAATTAGTGTGGATCAACTAACAATGTAAAATAACTTTACAAAAATCAAGGTACAAGAAAAAATATTTTTATTTATTTTATTTTATTTATTTATTTTCTTTATTTTTTTCTTATTTTTTTCTTATTTTTTTCTTTTTTCTTTTTTCTTTTTTCTTTTTTCTTTTTTCTTTTTTCTTTTTTCTTTTTTCTTTTTTTTCTTTTCTTTTTTCTTTTTTTTTCTTTTGCTTTTTTTTTGCTTTTTTCTTCAGATTTTTTTTTATTTTTTCTTTCATTTTTCCAACATTACGATTAAAACTACCACACATGTTTTTTCCTGCTGCTGATTCGTCTCTTCTTAACCACAACCATCCACAATATGTCCTTGTTAATGGTGGAAATCGCTAGAATCGCATTTTTGCCGGACGCTTCACAGATTAGCTAGAATCTGGAAAATGGAAACAACGTCAGCTAGATAATTCATAAAACTAACCGTCAATACTCTAATGTGACTAACCCTCGAGCCGTTTTAATGTAGACTGGATGACCCCCTACATCAGTCTGAAATGAAAATTATAGACAAATCTGGAATTGACTAAAAATCTTACAGTTTCAGCGGCCATTAATTCTTATCATTCAGGGAATTTCGTGCAGTTGATTTATTCCTCCTGGCGCACCGCCATCAACAATATGTCTTCGTTGATGGTGGAGATCGCCAGAATCCCATTGTTTCGGGACGCTCCTCAGATCATCAAGAATCTGGAAAAGAGAAATTTTGTCATCTTGCAAACTTGAAAAGCTAACCGTCCCTACTCCAATGGGATTATTCCCCGAGCCGTGAGCAATACAAATTGAGCATTTTGGAATATCTGAATATTAGATATAAGCTCATTTAACTTCTAGGCATTACGTACCTGCTCAATTCCTTCGCTACTTTTCGGCTCAGAACCAAGTGCGGGCAGAATGCCGTTTCCTTGATTGTTGAGGAATTTTGATGGCCGCCTATATCAGTCTGAAATTAAAATTATAGACACATTTCGAATAGACTTATAATCTCACATTTTCAGCGGCCATCCATCCTTCTCTATTGAGTATATTTTAAAAAAATACAATATACATTTAAAAAAAATACACAAGAATCCTAAAAAAAAATATGACTAAAATTTTCAAAAAGAGTTCTTACAAAAATTATAATGATACAATTTAATTCAAAAAAACTTAAAAACTAAGTACGTCTTGGCAATGTTCAAGGAATACTTATTACAATCCAAATTTCGAATCCAGTGGGACACAACTAAATGCAATTAAAAATGATACAAATTAATAATTTTTCAAGTTCCTTTTTTTTTAATTTCTATAATTTGTTTTAACAAGTCGGACAGGAGGGTGAATGGGTGTACAATATGTGCGGGTGAATTTTATACGGAAACAGTAAAAATGATCTTCTCATACAACGACACATTTAATCTAACAACATATAATTTAAAAAAAACAATTCAATTGTCAATTACATATTAACACATTTATTAATAGAAATTGTTTTTATTTGTTTTTTTTTTTTTTTTTTTTTTTTTTTTTTTTTTTTTTTTTTATTTTTTTTTCATTTTTTTTTACATTTTTTTTCGTTTATTATTTGTTTTTTTTTCTGTTTTTTTTTTATTTTTTTTTTCGTTTTTTCATTTATTTTTTAATTATTTATTTTTTTAAAGGGAGTCCAATGAGGTAGCAAAAATAATGAAGATCTCATCCTATAATAGAATAAATAACTAACCAATTCTTAAACAATAGCGTACCTCAACAGCAGTCTCCCGCACAATTTTTCGAATTTTCATGTTGACTTCCTTTTCGATTGGCACATTCGTCGATAATCCTAAAATTGAGAATTAAAATGTGAAATTAACTCACTATTAACTTACAAATCAAAAATTGAAATCATTCCTTTCGTTCTAATGATCTTACGGATCTGAAATCCACTTTCCTTGGTGAAAAATCGTAATGTTTTGTGCCAGACAAATTTTTCTTTACGTGATGTCTGACTATTATCACTTTTGAGAAAATTAGCTAAATACTAGGAAATTCAGCTAACCTCTTCAATCATTTCAGTGGTCCATTATTTTGTTTTTAAACTGGAAAATTTGTTGAAATTATTCTGCTCTGAATTTGTTCAAAACGCATTCATCATTTTAGTCGGCCATCCTATGCCGCCCAAATTCATACAAAAGCGTCACTGTGATAGCAGTCATTAACCACATAATATCTATTAGCATAAAATTAAAATTAAAATTTTCTAAAAAGTGATATTTACCAAATGATTTCCGAAATCCGCGAGCTTCCAAGTGATCGGGCAGCAATATACCAATGTCATCGTCTGGATTTTTGATCTATCATGCTGTTGTTTTCAAAATTTGACTTTTTCAGTCATCTTCATATCTTAAAAAATTGAATTTAAATGGAAAACATTTAAAAGTCTTACTAATTTTCTACATCTGCAGCATCAAAATATCGGAGTTGCTTCATCTGCCTCTCAGGCGTTTTTAAGCTTTTCTTCTAACAATGTCTTCATTTACAGAACAGATTTTTTTGATGAACATCTGTATTGTTTGAATCGAAAACCCTCTGAAATGTACAATTTGTTGCAAATTAAAATTGATTTGTTCTTACTAATCCACCAAAACTTATTTAATCAATTCCCAGCGATTATCGATCCAGTCGTTATTGATTTCATTTCAGTTGCTTCTTCTATAGCTTGATTATTCACCCAGTTGCTCATTTCAATCCCGCATTGTTAGGGCACCGTGCAACCGTAAAAAGAATACACAAGAAACGACATCCCAATAGAGCCATGCTCTTTCTTCAATTTGATAAATACGTCTGCGTAATTCAACTAGACGCAATTTTTATTCCCTAAGTAGCCTTCATATCTTAAAAAAAGAAATTTGAATGGAAACCGTTTAAAATTACTTACGAATTTCGTGCTCCAGCAGTCTTCAATTTTTCATTGTTGATTTCTATGAAGTTGTATCTCTTTTCAAAATGTTGTTTGAATAGTCGTTCACATTGATAACACTGTGATATGGCAAATTTTCAGTTATCAAGGATAATTTGCATTTGAGTATCAGGCGTCTTTAATTTTTTCTTCTTACAATTAGCCATCTCCAAACTTTTAAGCAGTATTGTCGGAAAAGAAAACCCTCTGAAAAGCACAATTTGATGATAATTAAAAACTAACTGTTCTTACCAATCCACACAAACCCTTTTCAATTTCATTTCCATTGATTCACCGATCCGTTCGTCGCTGGTTTAATTCTTGTTTTTTTTTCTATAGCTTGATCACAAACTATTAGATAAAGTTCCAAGAACCAGGAGAGTCTTAACATTTTACTGAAGCGATACAGACGTATGCATATAGCAAGCGGACGTCTTATTATGTCCTCATTAAAACTCATAGCTTCAAAAATGGAATTTGAAGGGAAATCGTTTGAAATGTCTTACGAATTTTGTGCTCCAGCAGCATTGAGTTATCTTTTCCGTCGTTCTAGCTGTATTTAATCTTTTCTTCTTAAAATTCTTCATCTCCAAAGTGAATAATTACGGAAATTCTGACAAAGACAGTGATGTTGAAATCAAAAACCGCCTGAAATGTACAATTGGTTGCTAGTAAAAAAATTGATATGTTCTTACCAATTTAACCATTCATTTCGATTGAGTAACCGATCCAGTCGTGAATGGTTTCTTTCTAGTTATTCCTTTTATAGTTTGGTTGTTGAACCAAAATCGGTCTTCCAGTGCCATTGTTATTGGTTCATAGAACTACCATGGATTGTTGTTGATCATCGCTTGTTCAAGGTCGATCATTTTTTGGCTTCGAAACTTGGCTTTGTCAGCCTTCCTTTTTTTTCACACCTTAAAAAACGAATTTATATGGAAACCGCTTAAAAGTCTTACGAATATTGGGCTTCTGCTGCATCAAATTTTCTGAGTTGCTTGTTCGGCGTCTCTTCATTTTTTTCATACAATTGATCCTCTTGTTTGATCTGCTTCCAAGCCAGCAATGCTCTTTGCATAGTCCAAGTCACCAGAGCCACAATTTCCGTGTACCACTGCCACTATCGTCATCCGTAAAAGTGCGCGTATCTCCGAGTAGCTAGATTCGAAATCAATCATGCCTTTACTTTGAATATTTGTCTTCGTTGCTTCAAAGCTCTCAATTTCTGCGTCCTAATGCCGCCATTATTGGTCCAAGCAACTGCTGCTATTTTCCATTGTACAGACTTCATTATAAAACGGGTAAAAATTATAAAACGCATCAATCAATATCTTCTTATTTGACATGTTCTTTCTTCTTATCATCTTAGCATCGACGTGTTCGGTAGAGATGTTGTATTCTTCTATTCGCTGTAGCTTTGGCAGAACGAATCTTTTGTGGATAAATCGCCAGATTCTCGGCTAACGGCGCCATCCTTGTCGCATCGTCGGCGATTTCCCCACAACGCTGGGCCAGAGCAGGTACAAGTTGGCGAAGCTGGAGTCGCTCGTCCCTTATTCTTGCGTGGTCCCCGTCCTTCGATGAAAGGTTGGAGTTTGGACGCTCCAAGTAACGCCGGGCGTTCCGTATCACATGGACCCCGCAATTCCAGCCGTCGGTTTGGATGTCTTGATGTCCTTGCGGGGCCCAGCGAGTCGACATCAGACGTTCTGGCATCAGGTGGGCCGCCAACGTCTTGATGGCTTTGGATACCATCTTTCTTCTTGCTGGCGTCAGACGTGACGAACCCGAGTCGTAAACCCTAGCCATATTCCTGATGCCGTCGATTGTCCCAAGCATCCAATGGTTCTCGAGAAAGATCGGGACGAAGACGATCTCAAAGTCGAGCCGGTCACCAATTAAGGCGCCGGCGACCTCCTCCTTTCCAACTTCCCTTCCAGTCATCAATTCGCTCGTCATGTCTGGGGCGACGATGGCAATTCTTTGCGTGGAATGTGCCGCGACGTCCAAAAGGCCGCAAAGAATTGCACCCGATGAGAGGTAGAGTTCTTGATTCGTACCTCTCAAGCGGGGCATGTCGTCGACGGACACCAAAGCCCTAGCGAGGATGCGAAGCGAGGGCGGAAACTGCGCCTCGTCGATAGATGTTATCCACTGCGTATCAACTCGGCCTTCTTCTTTCTCTTCTTCTTCATCTTCTTCTTCCTCTTCTTCTTCGTGAAACGCCGAGTTGAACACATCCGTAATGTTCCTCTTCTCACAATCGTCATCGCTACTACTTTCAATTTCCATTACTTCTTCTTCTGCTTCCTCTCGAAATGCTGCGTTGAGCTCGTCTGTCCCGTCTGTACACAGCGAGCTCTTTTCAGTTTCTTCTTCAGCCGCTTCTTCCTCTGGGAACGTCAAAAAGAGATCGTCGCTGATATCGATCGCGTCCGTACTCCTATCTTCTCCATCCATTCGCAACAGGGAGTTATCGCTATCTACAGCGCTGCTTCCTTCTTCCAGCCTCACTGTGCTGCCTTCTTCCAACACCATCGTATCGCCCTCGACGGAACTCAAAGTCGACGAATCCTGAGACGACAGGAGTGACAGATCCGTTGACGCAGCACAACCAGATGCAGCAATTTCAACTTTTTGTATGGAGACCATTCCACATGCATGATTTCTCTGAAAAGTTTCAATGCTTAAAACGACCCATTCGAAGACCTTTCGTACTCATTTTAAAAAACCATTCTGATTTATTCCCACAACTATTCAGTATATTCTCAAGACAATTCCGACACATCCGAAAAAATAATCCAATGATTCCGAATTCTATTCCGACTCATTCCAAAGACTACTAAGCATGATCTGAAGACAATTCCGACACATCCGAAGAAATAATCTGATGATTCAGAATTCTATTCCGACTCATTCCGAAGACTACTAAGCATGATTTGAAGTCAATTCCGACACATCCGAAGAATTAATCTAATAATTCCGAATTCTATTCCGACTCATTCCGAAGACTACTAAGCATGATTTGAAGGTAACTCCGACACATCCGAAAAATTAATCCGATGATTCCGAATTCTATTCCGACTCATTCCAAAGACTACTAAGCATGATCTGAAGACAATTCCGACACATCCGAAGAAATAATCTAATGATTCCGAATTCTATTCCGACTCATTCCGAAGACTACTAAGCATGATTTGAAGTCAATTCCGACACATCCGAAGAATTAATCTAATAATTCCAAATTCTATTCCGACTCATTCCGAAGACTACTAAGCATGATTTGAAGGTAACTCCGACACATCCGAAAAATTAATCCGATGATTCCGAATTCTATTCCGACTCATTCCAAAGACTACTAAGCATGATCTGAAGACAATTCCGACACATCCGAAGAAATAATCTAATGATTCAGAATTCTATTCCGACTCATTCCGAAGACTACTAAGCATGATTTGAAATCAATTCCGACACATCCGAAGAATTAATCTAATAATTCCGAATTCTATTCCGACTCATTCCGAAGACTACTAAGCATGATTTGAAGGTAACTCCGACACATCCGAAAAATTAATCCGATGATTCCGAATTCTATTCCGACTCATTCCAAAGACTACTAAGCATGATCTGAAGACAATTCCGACACATCCGAAGAAATAATCTAATGATTCCGAATTCTATTCCGACTCATTCCGAAGACTACTAAGCATGATTTGAAGTCAATTCCGACACATCCGAAGAATTAATCTAATAATTCCGTATTCTATTCCGACTCATTCCAAAGACTATTAAGCATTTTCTGAAGACAATTCCGACACATCCGAAAATTGACTCAATGATTCCGCAGACTATTCCGACTTATTCCGAAGACTGCTAAGCATGTGCTGAAGACAATTCCGACACACCCGAAAATTGATCCTATGATTCCCAAAACTATTCCGACAAACTTCAAAAACATTTCCGAGTCCTCTCATCAAAAACAACTGAAAAAATTCCAAAACGTTTGCAGTCATTTAAAAATTTTTTGCTCTAAAAATTTTCAAGATACTCTTTATTTCCGCCAGAATTAAGAAATAACTTTTCTTTTATGTGTGTTCAATGAATAATCTAGTAGTAATACTGATTTTGACTTTTGTATATTTTTCGAACCTCCCACGAATGTTTCATTTTTAATTTGCAAAGCACCAACCTTGTTTTTTTCATTCAAAATAATTAACTCTTCGATATCTCACCCCCCCCCCCTTAAAAATTTTTCTGTTTTGATATTTTTCCTTTTAGAAGAAAATATACTGGTTTCAAAAATAAAATTTCAGTCTAAATCGAAATTGAATAAAAATTATAAGTTTCAAAATATGCGAGAATTTTATCGTATACGATTTTGAAATTTAAAATTGAATCAAAATTTTTCAAATCGAAATTTATATGCATTTTTTATTTAATTTCCATTATTTTTAATCGAGTCAAGTTAATTCATACTTCAATATTCTATCATCCCGATTTTCATTAAGATTCCCCGTTCCACATAGCTTTCATTGTTTGATTTATCATTTTTTTCTACCACAAATACCTTTTTTTTACCTAATCTTGTTTGTTATATTTGATTCTCAATAGAATAAAAATGTTAAAATATGATTTTTTCAATTCAGATTTTTTAGTTGATGAAATGGGTGAATTTATACAGTAAAACTCGTTTTTTATTGTATGTTAAATTATTTTTTATTTTTCTTGAATTTTTGAATTGTGAAACATGTTGATTTTTAGTAACGTTTGAAAATAAAATGAGAAATATATATTTGCCCCATTCCACCACATCACAATACATAATGTGATAACAATAAAGTTAAAAAAAAAGGGTCCGCGCACCTGTGCATCTCCAGTCTGATGTCCTTTGCCATCGAGTTGTTCTTGATCTCTTTCGATTTCAGCTCCTGACGCTATCGGAAGATTCACACTCTCCTGTCGAAGAACTAAAAACTATCCTTATATATTAATCAAAAAAAATAAAATTACCTTCAATGGTAAGTCGCCGGCACTTGAGAGGGCTCGCTCCAGAGCGGCCTCTTCTTGAGAAATGGTTTCGTGGCCATTTTCCACCTCCATTGGATCGAAGCTGATCGTCCATGGGCTCTTCTACATATCGACGTTGACGAACTTCAGTTGCCTCATTAGAAGCAGGACACGGTGTCTTCTTTCTTCCCAACGTTTCAACACGTCTTGCTGCATTGGACGCAGCGATTCTCTTCGATCGTCGCAATGAGACGCACTGCTGAAGGCTCGCTCCAGTCGGTTCTCTTCTTGAATCACGACTTTGCGGCCATTTTCCTTTTCCATTTGATCGATGCTGATCATCCATGGAATTGTCAAGAACACAAAGTTGTGCCACATCACGCGCCGGCTTCGAAACCTTCTTAATTCCAATCACGAACTCGCCATCTTCTCTTCCTGCGTTGGGCAACGAAGCAGCGGCGGCGGCGGCGTCAATCCTCTTCGATCTTCTTAAGGGGACGCACAGCTGAGGGCTCGCAAGAGAGCGGCTTCTTCTCGAGAAATGTCTTCGTTGCCATTTCCCACCTCCATTGGATCGATTCTGACCATCCACGGGTTCTTCAGGAATACGAAGTTGTGGGGTTTGAATTGCCACATCACGCGCCGGCTTCGAAACCTTCTTTCTTCCAATCACGAACTTGCCATCATTTCTTCCTGCGTTGGACAACGAAGCAGCGGCGGCAATCCTTTTCGATCTTCTCAACGGCATCGAATCCTTGCGAATCGAATTCGTGGATGTCATCTTAGACAGCTTTTGCACACGAGTGGATCTTCTCATTTCATAAGCCATATTATAGCAAGTTATCACGCGCAGAGGTGACTGCACTGAACACTAATTACCTGAAAAAAAAACCAATTAATGTTTTAATAAACGAATCTGTGGAGAAGAAATTTAATAAAATCTGAGAAATGATAGATTCAAATACGAAAAAATATCCCATATGAATTCAAAAACATTATTTTTGTAAATTGATTTTAATAGGCAAAATGCAGAATTTGCGGGAAAATTCAACAAAAAGGTCAAACTGGTAAAAATTTTCTGGTTAAACTGAATGTAACTGTTAGGTTGAATGCTTCAATTTTGAAAAGAACACAAAAAATCAATAAAAATAACAGAATAGGTTAAATATTGCTTTCAATGATCATCTTTTTCACTCTGCGTCTACGCGCGTTTTGTGCGAGGAGAGGTACTCGCTCTGCTGTCGCCTCGTTCATTTTTGAGTGCAGAACTTTGCAAAAATATTATCGTTTCATTATTCTGATTGAAAATGGGGTATCATATAAAATAAAACTAAATAATATATATTATCGACGAGAAAGAACAATATTTATGTTTCCTCTGGGCAACATTTTCAACTGCTATTTTGATGAAACAATTTTTTTTGAGTTTTGAAAAAAAATTTCTGAACACTTTTAAAATTTTCGCATAATTCCTGAAAGACACATTGATGATAAGCATTACTGAGAAGTTCTCGTCGCAGCTCCCTTTTCATCAAATTTCAAACAAATTAGTTAATTCCACGTTGTAAAGCATCAAATTCTGACCATTCACTTTTTTTGGATCATCGAATTTGATTCAGAAACAAAAAAGCTACAGCTCTCACATAGCTCACCACCACTCTGAAAATTCTCGAATTCTTATATGCGATTTCAGCCTTGGCGAAATGTGCCGGTGTGGTGTAGTGGTTAAAATGTGCGATCATTG